CAATAACATATTGCATATTTCAAAATAGCTAGAAGGGAGAACTTGAATATTCCTGACACATAGAAATGACAAATGCACAAAGTGATAGATACACTTTCTATACACGGAACAAAATATCACACGTGCCCCATACATATGTGAAAATATTATGTATTCATAAAAAACTATTTTATTTATTTGTTTATTTATTTATTTTTGAAACAGGAGCTCACTCTCTTGCCCCGGGTAGAGTGCAGTGGTGTCATAGCTCACAGCAACCTCAAACTCCTAGGTTCAAGCAGTCCTCTTACCTCAGCCTCCCAAGTAGTGGGACGAGTTGTGCACCCTCCACAATACCCTCCACAATAGTAGAGACAGGGTCTCACTGTTGCTCAGGTTGGTCTTGAACTTCTGAACTCAAGCAATCTGCCCGCCTTAGCCTCCCAGAGTGCTAGGATTGCAGATGTGGAGCCACCATGCCCAGCAATAAAAAAGTTTAAAAAAGAAAAAATATTATCTTACGCGAGAAATGTAAATGGGAAAAGTTTGTAATACAACAAATTAAACCTTGCTTCCTCAAGGCAAATATTTAGATGGTATAAGATTAAAAAAGGACCTGCCAGGACCCTTTTATCATGGGGGATCCATATTTCCAGAGAAAGGTGGTGGTGATACAGGTAGCTGGTAGTGCTGGAAGGTAGAGTGGAGCAGGGCCCTGACCCCAGCGGACAGGTCATTGAGCTAGACCCTGAAATGTGGGCAGATTTGCTTGAGAGGCTCGGTAAAAAGCAAGGAAGACACCCCAGGTGGGAAGGAACAGCTTCAGTCACTGCCTGCATTTGCAGGAAAAGGTGGGGGGCTTCAGTGTATCTGTTATTGCATCTATGTTTTGTTTTGTTTTTGTTTTTTAATCAAAAATAAATTTCATTTAAAACTTAGGCCCATGAAGAAATAGATTTTATTCTGCAGGACTAAGTTCTTATAGGCAATGGCTTTTTCCCTTTTATACTGCAAAAGATTTTTTAGTTTACTCTTTTAAAGTGGAAAACCTCTTGGAAATTTATACTGCTCTTTTTTCCACCTTTTTTTTTTTTTTGAGATAGAGCCTTAAGCTGTCACCCTGGGTAAAGTACCATGGCATCACAGTTCACAGCAACCTCCAACTCCTGGGCTCAAGCGATTTTCCTGCCTCTGCCTCCCAAGTAGCTGGGACTACAGGTGCCTGCCACAATGTTCAGCTATTTTTTTTGGTTGCAGCCATCATTGTTGTTTGGCAGGCCCGGGCTGGATTCAAACCCTCCAGCTCAGGTGTATGTGGCAGGAGCCTTAGTCACTTGAGCCACAGGCGCCAAGCCTTCCACCATATTTTTAACTTTCTGTGGGATTCAAGTTCATCATCATGCCTATTAATTGTGACAACATGCTGGATGGAGCAATCGTAGACCCCAGCCTGTGAGCTAGTTGGATTTAGGCAACTGCCTTTTTAAGCTCTAGTGCCTTTTTCTCCTCCTTTTGCTGCTAGTGTTTCTACCCATAGAATTTACACCCTTCTCTTGTAATTTTCTGTTTTCTGACTACCGTGAATCTAAAAACTGGACAAATAATCTTAATTATATATCAGTTTAAGAGCAAGCAAGTGCTGGTGGAGGTTCTGGCGATTTTGTTTCTAATGCTGATGTTGTAGTGGTGAGACTAGTGTGGGCGTGGTGACTCGATTTGGACTATCAGAGAACATGAATTTCCTGGTCACAAGTGTAATGTTACCAAATAACTGAGGAGGTACTGAAGAGTGCCATGTCATGATGTTTACTTTTGAAAATTATCCTGATGAAAGGCTATGATTTTCTATAAATTTATTATGATAGGATGAAGAGCTTTACTTGGGAGAGGACCTAGTTCACGGACAGTTACCACCTTAACTTTCATGCATCTCCATCTGCCCAGGCTGGTCTGCGTTTGAAACACACAGTGCAGTGATGGGTGACAGCCCCTTGAATCATTTTCTTCTCTGGCACAGGGCTTGACTGACTAGGATCATTTCAGCTCACCAGAGCTATTCAAACAGACTTTGTACTCACAAAGATGCCTGGCATTAAAGCAGGGGTAAACAATATTTCTTACGATAGCAGTGAAATGGCATGTTGGCCTTTTTAAATGGAAGATTTGTCTGATAGGTATTTTGGTATCCAGATTTCAGCTGTCAGTTCAAAATGCATCTTTGCCAGAGGACAGTTGGAGGTCACTCCTATGAAAGTGCTCTTGCTTAGTCACGATTCCTAGGCCCCAGAGTCATGCAATTATGGATCTTGTCTTGCAATTATTGTATAAATTGCATCAACCCTATTATTGCTGTCATCTAGAAATGCATTAAATCCTGTGGAAACCCAAAGATAATAAAAAATTCTACTCCAAATGGACATTTTAGGTTTATAGTCCAGTCTCCAGTTCTGTGACGTCATGTCCTTGGTACATCAGGAGGATATCTTGAGACATTATGGCCTTCTTTAAGCTGGAGTTTGGGAGGTGTCCTATTTCCAAAAGTGCCTGCATTGGCAGAGTGGAAGGTCACACAGAGGAGTGGCCAGGACTTTATTTCCATCATTTGATTGTGAATGTGCCCCTTTAGAATAAATAGTGCCTTTTAGGAAGCTGCATGCAGTACCCTTTATTTAAAGACGCTTCTGTTGCGACTATGGTGCCCTGTTCTTTAAAGACTCTGTCATACTGATTCTCCTCACATAGCTTCCACCCTATGGATCACTATAAGACCTACATAAATCAAGTTGGATGCCATTTTTAGTTAGTTACTTAAGGATATTTATTAAATATTATCAGGGCAGAAAACTCTATATTATATCTGGGAGGCTATAGTCTTACTTGGGAACTTTCAGAGGATCTAGCTAGAAGAGTATGTGGTTTAATGACAGGCCCAACCCTAAGCCAAAAACTAGTCTCCAGATGGTAATCACTTCAAAGTCTTTCTTAGTTAATGTGAGGTACACAGGACAAAGCAAAACACCAAACAATTTGGGTTAAATGTTTAACTTTTATTATGCAAACTAACCAGTGAGGCTTGGCCCAGTAGAGAGAGGAAGGTATTGTGCAGAGGACATCAGGAATGGATGGACAGAGAGGAGTGGACAGGTACCCTAGAAGAGGAAGAAGGAGGAAGAAATGAAACAAGTGTGCTACTGGGGCAGCTGGAAGAACCAGGGAACTTGGGCGTGGGGTGGAGGAAGGATGCCCAGGGGCCATGTGCTGAGCTTGATAATGGTGATCGAGAGCTGTTGAAAGTTGCAAGCAGAAAAGTGTTATGATTAAAGCTGTGCAAGAGAAAGATTAGTTTGGTATATAAAGCAGATGAAATAAAGTCTGCAAGGAGGCTGCTCTAATAACCTACCCATGGATTTCCAAGGGCCTGGACTAGGGTGTGGCTAATGGGAAGGGAGTGGAAAGACGATAGTATGCAACACATTTTATTTCATTTGCGTGACTTATGGCTTCGTGGTGGTTGAATACTGGAAAGACCCATATCACACTCCACTGAATGTCAGGCTCAGTGAATTACAGAGGATGGGAAAGAAAACATGAGGGCGAATCACATGACTTTGGGGACATGTTTGTAATTCAACAAAATAAACAAGACGTTTATATGGCTTTCTCAGAATTTGGCTTGGGTTAGAAAGTAGGTAAGAAAGACTGAAATTTATTTGTATTATGAGAAGAATGTTTAGTTTTCATAGAGAACTTTGTTCTCCCTTTATTATCAACAAGACCACAATTCTTTTGATATTCAAACCAGTATCCAAACTGGAAACTCATCTTGACTCTCTCCCTTTATCTCTGTATCCAGTCACCCAGGACTACATAATCCCAAGTTACTATATGCGGTCTATATGCTTCTGTTCTCAGCACTCCTAATGCCTCTATTCTAGGCCCGTTGAGCTTATATTTCTTTCATTGGATATTTATAACTGACTGTCTTGTAAGTACTTGGGTGCAAGATGTGGTGCATGCTAGAATTTAACATGCCAAAGTATCAAAGTATTGTAAAAAGGAGAGACACAGCAAATTGCATTTAAGAATTTTAAAAAATGTTTTCCCAGTAACTATCTTATTAACACATTGTCTGACTGTCACATTCTGAATGGAAACCATTCCCTGAAAGCTGTCATAGTTGCCTCTGCTCAAGATCTAGTGCAAATAAGGAGCCTACACGTTTTGTAAAGGAAGGGGGGGCATCTCAACTTCAACCAAAGGGCAAGTAAGAGTGAAAAGTTAAAGCCACACCTTAGGGGCATAAACAGGACACTGCCTGAGATTTTTATCTTTCAGGTTGCCCTCATATTTTCTTTCCCATCCTCTGTAATTCCCTTTCTGGAATAAGAGTCAGCTAGGCTTCTGATAATTTGTTCTCAAAAACTTCTGGAAGGGATGAACCCAGAGTCTTTTTCATTAAAATGAAGCACAGAAGGCTGAGAGCTTTGGACCCTTAAGAAAAACCTGGTGAAGGCTATGTTAACCAGTTTGGTGGAAATGTTTCAAATTGTATGTGAAAACACCACACCGTACCCCAGAATTGCATTAATGTACATAGTTACTATTCAATAAAAAAAAAGAAAAGAAAAGAAAATCCTGGACAAGGAATCACTTTTCCCCCATATACATCTTCTCCCCGGTTCCTAAATGGGACTGCCGTTTCCCTTGAGGATAAAAAAGAAGCCAAAAACATCTTAAATACTGTCAGATGTAGCATCTGTATTATGAGCTTCCTTTAGGTAAATATAATCTAACATGGTGACCAAAAGAATTTCGAGATGATCAAATATGGCATCATGCAAACAGAATATAATCAAAATAGTTACATTCTGACACCATTTCTAAAGAATCAGGCCAGGTTATGACATTAAGTGTGACATCCTTGATATGATTCATGACCTGATATTTATGGCTTCACATAGCCCATCTGAATATTTATGACGTTATTGTCAGCCAGTAAGAATATCCATTCTGTTTTTCAGCATCTCCCGTTGGTAACGGCTACATCAAGCCTCCAGTTCCACCTGCTTCTGGCACGCACAGGGAGAAAGGGCCGCCAACCATGTTACCCATCAATGTGGACCCAGACAGCAAACCAGGAGAATATGTCCTCAAGAGTTTATTTGTCAACTTCACTACTCAAGCTGAGCGCAAGATTCGGATCATTATGGCAGAACCCCTGGTGAGTACATGCCATGAAACTTACTTCTTAAATGTACCTGTGTGCTGGCCCAGTGTGGTGGCTCATGCCTGTGATTCTAGCCCCCTGGTGACTGAGGAAGACTCTTCAAAAAAAAAAGAAAGAAAGAAAAGAAAGCTTGAATATACCTGTATGCTGAATGTACCAGACTTTACTGCTCTGACAGAGGATAGAGTGCTTTTCTCCTAATTTGTAAAGGCTTTTTTTAAAAGACAGGCAATTTTTGATTTAGGTTTCCTGATTTAAGGGGAAATTTTTGAATGTAGGAGACTTTAAGACAATCTTTAGCATATCCAACTCAGTAGCATGCTTCACTGCC